TGATGATGGCTGCTCAGAGGAAACAGAAATTCATGAAAAGATTTCAAGTGATATCATCCATGTTAATCATATGACTTTACTACATAACTTGTCCAGGACTTTAAAAATAAAACTTAAACAACCCTGCTTTGTGCAAGATCATGTTGTGACTTATCTCCATTGGGTTTGCTTTCTAAAAGAACTGTAATATCACAGTTGGTTGGCATGGGCCATCTCTGCCTCACTACCAGAAGATTTATGACAACATGACAGCACAGCAGTGGCAAACCAGTGAGCATACATAAAAGACCAGTACTAGCTTGTTACTTTGCACCTGGGGTGTTTTATTTTAGGCACAAAAGAGCCCATGGAGCATACAGTTTCCTGGGTGCCTTCTTTATGTTAAGGAGGTTGGGTTTCTGGGATGAAGTGTCTGCTAGGCTCCCTGGGACGCTGTAGCACTCAAGGTACCAGGGAGTGTCCTTCCCATTGCTTTCATGGGACAGAGCACTCAAAACCTACCTGTTTGGACTGGAATTCCCAAAAGTCATTACCTATACTGGCTAACATGCAAACTGAGCTATACTCAGAGTTTCAAGCCACCTCCTCATCAGTTGCCCAATATAGGGCTCTTTTTCCAATAAGTAGTTACAAGCACATAGACTTGATTTTTGTTAGTGATGATGACTTAGAGATTAAGTTCATGGAAATCACTGTTGTTGTTGTTTTGTTTTAAAAAACATGCATTGGAAGAAAGAAAAAAAGTATTACTTAGCATAGGGGTGGGTAACTAATTTCATGTAGATGGCAGTGGCTCACACACAGAGAGAAGGAAAACAGGGAGGGGAATAAGGAAAAAAGACAGAATAGATAGACTGGAAACAAACTATCAGTTCAGATTTCTGGCAAGAAGAAGAAAAAATCTCCCCTTTGCCCTAGAACACTGTTTCCAAAACTTTGGTCTTCCAGGTGTTTTGAACTTCAACTCCCAGAAGCCCTAGCCAGGTTAGCCAATCAGGAAATCTGGGAGGTGAAGTCATAAACATCTGGAGATCCAAGGTTTGGGAAGCACTGCCCTAGAAGGAAGAGAAAACTCCTTGAAAGTGATCAGTTCAGATCACTTACCATCTGGGCAGCTGGGGAGGGAGAGGTGTCAGAATGCAAGAAAGAGAATGGGGTGTCATAAAGTATAAAGGATGGCTGGAGAGGGGGAGAGAAAACAGTGGATCTTTCCATTTTGGCAAATGGCCCCTGACAGATTACACCACAGGAATAGGACCTTTGACTTGAGCTGGGAAGAATTAACTTTTAAGGTAAAGGTATTCTCCATTGACAAGGTTGTCAAGTCATGTCTGACCATAGGGGGCAGTGCTCATCTCTGTTACTAAGCCAAAGAGCCAGCGTTGTCAGATACTATTCTATGAACATGTGGCCAGCATGATTGCACAGAATGCTGTTTACCTTCTCACCAAAGTGGTACCTATTTATCTACTTGCATTGGCATGCTTTCGAACTGCTAGGTTGGCAGAAGTTGGGACGAGCGACATGAGCAGTTTTCAAATTTATTAGCTAGTGTGGCCAATGGGAGTTTTGGTAGTCTGAAAAGTAACGTTTTAAAGGTCAACTCGTAACAGGGAAATAGGTTCCTTGTGTAGGTGTTCTGGATGACTGCTCTAAGCTATACAACAAGAGGTATTGAAAGAACAGGCTTCTATGAGTCAATGGAGGCTGGTAGAGTTAGAAGAGTAGAAACAGACATTTGTCCAGCTCATCAGGAAGGTGTGTGAGAGAGTACAGTTGCAGTCATGTCCTGCTGGCATGTTTTCCATGGGTGGGTGCTATTTTAGCATATCAGTAGACATCCTTTGGTCTGATCCAGGAGGATTTTTTCCTGTTCTTAGTACTACCTGCTTCCACAGAACCTAAGAAATGTTAGGATAAATGGCATCTTAATTTGATGAGTTTTATCTCATTAGGGGCACACTTTGCTTGAGGCACCTCTCTTCTACAGACTACTGAGACAACTGGGGATCCTGCTTTTACCTCCAGATCCCTTATAAGACTGTCTATACCTTGGGGCTTGGGAGAGAAGTGTATTAATGGATACTAGCCAATAACATCAAAAGATGCAGCCACTGACAAGTGCAAAAGTTCTTCCTAAGATTTTTTTTCGCTTTCCAAGCAAAATGGAATGCATTAGAGATATTCAGCTGAACTCAGTGGATCATTTTAAATACTAATCTCAGCCAGGTAAGCAAGACCAACTATAAATTGGATTAATTACTGTAGCTCAAGATTTAGCTCAACAGCTCTTAATTTCAACTTCCAAAGGCTACACAAACCAATTTTGTACTCTTAGATTATAATGAGGAGTCTTTATTCTTTAATCAGTTCATCCACTATCTAGCTGTCTAATGTAACGTTCCTTTGAAGTCTAGCAAGATCTAACATAATTGAAGAAATGTCGAACTACTTGACTTTCTCCCTTTTTTAAAAAACATAAAGGAATTAAACATTAATCAGACTTGTGCATCTCAATTAAACCAATTAAAATTATCACAGAATGAACTGCACACTGCAATAGGTAGCTTTAATGTTTGAA